CTGGTTTTTGTCCTGGTTTAGTCCTAGTTTAGACCTGGTTTTAGACCTGGTTTAGACCTGGTTTTAGACCTGGTTTAGACCTGGTTTTAGATCTGGTTTTAGTCCTGGTTTAGTCCTAGTTTAGACCTGGTTTAGACCTGGTTTTAGACCTGGTTTAGACCTGGTTTTAGACCTGGTTTAGACCTGGTTTTAGACCTGGTTTTAGTCCTGGTTTAGTCCTAGTTTAGACCTGGTTTAGACCTGGTTTTAGACCTGGTTTTAGACCTGGTTTTAGACCTGGTTTAGACCTGGTTTTAGACCTGGTTTTAGACCTGGTTTAGACCAGGTTTGGACCTGGTTTTAGACCTGGTTTAGTGTCCGGCAACGAGCGGAATTACAAAAAAAAAAAGTGGAATAGCCCAAAATGTGAAAACAGGAAAATACCTCTGATTACGTAACTCATGTACATGTAATCTGTTACTCCCCAACACTGAACTCGGGTTGGTTCAACGCTTCACTGATTGGCCGGTGCGCGGTCAACAACTTCCGGGATTCTTGCAAATCATCTAGTGCTCTCTAACCTTTTCCTCTGGTGAGCTTCCTTCATGAAACGAAAATGCCAGGGAGCTTCTCTTTTTAGCGGTCGCAAGAAATTTAAAACGTAGAAGAGCTATGGCAAGTTTTAGACGAGGCACAGTTAGATGCTTTTTAAACATAAACCATTATCCACTTATTAGTGCATAAGTTAGGCATCAAAATGACACATTTACAGTGAAAATAAATCCGATTTTAGTGAAGAACATGACTTATAATTCAGAAATCCATTGGTGAGCTACTTGGAAGAGGGTGGAGAGCTACTGGTAACTCCTGAGCCACAGGTTGGAGAGCCCTGGTCTGGTGTATTCCTCTTTCCTGACCTAGTCTCTGGAGAGAAATGAAATTGACCTACTAAACCACAACCTTAACCTGTTAACCACACGTGAATTTAAACCAGTTCTGATGTAATTATAAAACATTTGCATCATCTGAGTCATCATAATGTGTGTGTCTGTAGATTTTTTTGGGATATATTTACCAAATTGCCAAACCGTAACTTTAACCTTGATCTGTTTAACCCATGTCTCAGCTTTAATCTGTTGTTGATCTAATTATACAAGATTTGCGTCACTTGATCTGTCATCTTAAGGAAAGCAGGTCTCCCATTGTGTGTATGTGTGTGTTTGTGTGCAGATTTTAGTCTCCAAAATACTATAGATGCCAAATACTCTAACATTAAAGGTTGTATAGAGGATTTTTTAAGGGAGATGAAATACAGCGACAGTTCTTTTTCAAATGTTGTGCATGTGTGACTCCACCTTCCTCAGTAGAAACATCTCCTCCCGCCTCTTTACTCTACATTTGTTTACATCCAGTGCGTGTTCAGAATTACAGTTGAAGTGACCTGCCTAGAAATATTTCAGCGACCGACGTGTCAGTTTTTAGACCCTTCGGACTTTCTTTTGCGGCGAACTTGTCGTGGATTCTCGTCCGCCATCGCAACAAACTTTGTGCGAATTGCGAGGAAGCTACAGCTTGAAAAAGCCTCTAAGAACCGCCGCATAAAACCACGTAATCCCCGAGCGCCGGCGAGTCAGTTACACAAAAAACATAAGGAGTTTGATTGACAACCTAACAGCCAATAGATAAAGAGGGAGCCTCGTTTTCTATTGGCTGATGTTTATCTGGCCTCACTATGTCCACAGTTGATAGATTTTCATTCTTTTTTTTCTTTTTTTTTTCCGGTTATCATAATTACGAGGCTGCTGCGTCTCTGTAATGGTATTTTAAACTTTCAATGACAATTTGAAACTAAAAAAAAAAATCCTCCATACATCCTTTAACCTTAATCTGAACCTGTTTAACCCATATTTGAACTTTAAACCATGTTCTTGATCTAGTTATACAAGATTTGCGTCACTTGATCTGTCATCATAAGGAAAGCAGGTCTCCCATCATGTGTGTGTGTTTGTTTGTGTGTGTGTGTTTTTGTGTGTGTGTTTTTGTGTGTGTGTGCAGATTTTAGTCCCTACAAAGGCTACAAAAAGACCTGAACTCGCCAGAATGTGAAACTGAGAAAAATAACGCCGTTCTGCCGTGGTTTCTTGCATGTTTTAGGATGTCAAGGTTGTCGTACCCTTTTATTCTCTTGTTAAAATCATAAAATTGCCTCACAATATTTATCCAAATGATAAAGAAGTGCTCAAATACTCCCAAAACGAAATAAAATCAGAAAACTATAGATGCCAAATTGTCTAACGTAAACCTGTTTAACCTACATCTCAACTTTGAACCATTTCTGATTCTAAAAGGTCCGCGTCACTTGATGGGTCATCATAAGGAAAGTAGGTCTCCCATGACGTGTGCGAGTGTGTGCGAGTGTGTGTGCGAGTGTGTGCGAGTGTGTGCGAGTGTGTGTGCGCCGATTTTAGTCTCCACAATGCGATTTATAGCCTAACAAATTCGCCAAAACCTTAACCTAACCCACATCTGAATAATAATTAAACAGAAGTCGATCTAATTAATAACCTAAAAAATATCGACGTCACGTAATTGGTCATCGTAAACGAAAGCAGGTCTTCCATGATGTGTACGAGTGTGTGTGTGTCGATTTTAGTCTCCACAATTCGATAAATAACTGACCAAATTGCCAAACTTTAACCTAACCTACATCAGAATATTAAACAGTCGTTAATTAAGCTAAAAAATATTGACGTCATGTGATCGGTCATCGTAAACACAAGCAGGTCTCCCATGACGTGTACGAGTGTGTGTAAGTGTGCATATGTCGATTTTAGTCTCCAAAATACGATATATAACCGAGTAAACTGCCTAACTTTGCCTAACAGTCTAAAGACCTAAAAAATATCGACACCGCCTAATCGGTCAGCGTAAAGAAAGCAGGTCTCCCATGATGTGTGTGAGTGCGTTTGTGTGTCGATTTTAGTCTCCACAGTTCGATAAATAACCGAGCAAATTGCCAAACTTTAACCTAACCCACATCGGGATATTAAAGTCGTCGATCTAATTAACCTAAAAAATATCGACGTCACCAAATCGGTCATCGTAAACGCAAGCAGGTCTCCCATGATGTGTTTGTGTGAGTGTGTGTCTCGATTTTAGTCTCCACTATTCGATAAATAACCGACCAAATTGTCTAACTTTAACCTAACCCACATCAGTCGTTAATTAAGCTAAAAAAAATATCGACTTTGCCTGATCGGTCATCGTAAAGGAAAGCAGGTCTCCCATGACGTGCGTCCGTGTGTGTGTGTGTGTGTGTGTGTGTCGGTTTTAGTCTCCGCAATTCAATAAATAACGGAGCAAATTGCCTAACTTTACCCTAACCCAGGTCAGAATATTTAAAGTCATCGACCAAATTAACCTAAAAAATATCGACGTCGCCTGATCGGTCATCCGTGAAGGAAAGCAGGTCTCTCATGATGTGTGTACGAGTGTGTGTGAGTGTGTGTGTGTCGATTTTAGTCTCCACAGTTCGATAAATAACAGACCAAATTGCCTAACTTTAACCTAACCTACATCGGAATACTAAACAATCGTTAATTAACCTAAAAAATATCGACGTCACCTGATCGGTCATCGTAAACGCAAGCAGGTCTCCCATGATGTGTGTACGTCGATTTTAGTCTCCACAATTCAATAAATAACTGACCAAATTGCCAAACTTTAACCTAACCTACATATTAAACAGTCGTTAATTAAGCTAAAAAATATTGACGTCATGTGATCGGTCATCGTAAACACAAGCAGGTCTCCCATGACGTGTATGAGTGTGTAAGTGTGCATATGTCGATTTTAGTCTCCAAAATACGATATATAACCGAGTAAACTGCCTAACTTTGCCTAACAGTCGTCGCTCTAAAGAACCTAAAAAATATCGACGTCGCCTGATCGGTCAGCGTAAACGCAAGCAGGTCCCCCATGATCTGTGTCTGTGAGTGTGTGTCCGTGTGTGGGGGTGTGTGTGTGTCCGTGTGTGTGTGTGTGTGCAGACTTGAGCCCCCACAGCGCGATATATACCCATCCACGCGCGCACGTAGCACGCGCGCGCCCGCAGAGTCAGGGGGTCTCTTTATCACAGCGTTTGTTTTGGAAATCGTGCTGCGTCGCCCCGTTATGCAATCGGCGTATAGGTGACACGTCCCGAGCCAGGCGGATGAATCATCGCATCACAAATCGGTGCCTTCTTTTCCTGCGTGCGTGCGTGAGCGTGCGTGTGCGTGCTTATGTGTGTGCGTGCGTGTGCGTCGGAGACAACAGGAGGGACGGAGACGCGTTCGTGTCAAAGCGTCCGGAACCGAACCGCTGGATCCAAATCGCGTTGTGATCGATTTGAAATGCACGCACGATTGACACGCGACGGATTTACAGTAGCTGAGACTGACATTACGCAGCGTACAGCCCACTGCGCACGGCTCCGAGGGTCTCCTTGACTGAGCCGAACGCTGCCTACCCGTCCAGCACACCTTCGCGTTACTTTATATTCCGTAAGCGAGCGCGTCGTGCCGTAAATTAGGCAATGATGGTTTATTTTCGCTGTTACGCGCAATATTTTTGGCGGTTCCGAATTGCGATCGCCTAACGGAGCAACATTCACGCTTAACATGTCCAAATTACGACAGGTACATGAACAAATAGGGAAGAAATGTTAATAAATTTAGACTGTATCCGGTTTGTTTACATGTTTTCCAACAGCTGATGTGCAATGATTAAAAATAAAATAAAATAAATACAAGCACGTCCCAGTATGTTTGCAAGACATTGGGGTCGTTGGAAATCTCAAGGGGCATAGTTAGTTTTCACAATTTCATCGTTTGGGTTGAGGGAGAAGCAGATTGAGAGCTCGCGTGCCGTTATTTCGAAGCACCTTGCGTCGCGTTCTGCCGTGATTTCGCTCGAATAACACAATGAATGGAGAGCGCGGCGGGGTGCGCGTGTGTCCGGGGGGAAACCGTCACACTCACATGTCGGTGATGTTCTCCATCTCCGCCTCGCTCTGCAGCGCGGGGAAGCCGCTGATGCCTCGCTCCGGGTCCACGCAGGAGATCCGCGAGCCGCTACACGAGCAGGAGGACGGGCAAGCCTCCGCGAAGCTCCACGCCGTCCCCCCGGAGCCCACGGCCAAAGCCACGAGCAAGACCCAGCACCAGCAGTACCTCCAGCGGCGCCAGTACCACGAAGGGGCCCCCCACGATCGCATCTCAACTCGGCTTCGGCTTCGGCTTCGGCTCGGTACCGCTCCAGAGCCCCGCAGACCCTCCGCGCGCGATAACACAGCTCTCTCCCGGTGCTGATGATGCCAAAGCGGTGGGGGCTAGAAAACCATGAGCCGCGGGGGGAAATCACGGACACGCGGAAAGAACTCGGTACTAGTTTCCAGAAAGAAAAGATCGAAACCACAACGCGTCGGTTTTGGCTGTAATTCCTGTCCGGTGCGCGCTCCACAGTCCTCCGTGTGTCCGCTGCTCAGAGCCGCTGTCTCCGTGTGTGTTGCATGTGCCGCTCGCCTCTTCCTCTCTTTCCCTCTCTCTTTCCCTCTCTCTCTTTCCCTCTCTCTCTTTCTCTCTCCTCACACTCCTCCTGTCACCGCCGCTGTCAGCGTGATGTGGATATGCAAATACGACAGGAACACTGAAAAAGGAGCGGAGCCTCGGGAGTCTGTTTGTCCTCGAAAATTTGGAAATTAAAACGCGCAGTTTTACGCAGTGTGATTGGATGTTTCCTCATGTCCTTTTAATTATCGCAGCTATTTATTTTAATACTTATTTTCCTACCGACTTTCCAAAAATCTTTAATCAGAGGTAATTCATATTCAAATTTAGCAGTGTTGGGAAGGTTACTTTTAAAATGTAATCCCCTACAGATTACAGACTCATACCTCAAAATGTAGTTTGTAACGAAATCCATGAAGTTACTTAAGGTGAGTAACGTAATCTGAATACTCTGGATTACTCGATTTGCTGTAGAGAAGCAAAGACGAGGAAATCTTCACATAAGATGAAAGAAAATGAAAAGTCCGAGTTTTTACTTAACCACATTAAAAATATTATTGATAGAAGAAGAGGAGACATGTCCACACAGCAGGATTTAGTCCTGTTAAATCCTGTTTTAGACCTGGTTTAGACCTGGTTTTAGTCCTGGTTTAGTCCTGTTCATTCCTGTTTAAGACATGGTTTAGTTCTGGTTTAGTTCTGGTTTAGTCCTGGTTTGGTCCTTGTTTAGGCCTGGTTTAGTTCTGGTTTTAGTCCTGCTTTAGTCCTGTTTTAGACCTGGTTTAGTCCTGTTAAATCCTGTTTTAGACCTGGTTTAGTTCTGGTTTAGTTCTGTTTTAGACCTGGTTTAGTCCTGGTTTGGTCCTTGTTTAGGCCTGGTTTAGTTCTGGTTTTAGTCCTGCTTTAGTCCTGTTTTAGACCTGGTTTAGTCCTGTTAAATCCTGTTTTAGACCTGGTTTAGTTCTGGTTTAGTTCTGTTTTAGACCTGGTTTAGTCCTGGTTTGGTCCTTGTTTAGGCCTGGTTTAGTTCTGGTTTTAGTCCTGCTTTAGTCCTGTTTTAGACCTGGTTTAGTCCTGTTAAATCCTGTTTTAGACTTGGTTAAGACATAGTTACCTCTGCCAAGGAGGTTATGTTTTTGCCGGCGTTTGTCTGTTTGTTTGTTTGTTTGTTTGTTTGTTTGTTTGTTTGTTTGTTTGTTTGTTTGTTTGTTTGTTGTTTGTCTGTTTGTCTGTTTGTTTGTTTTGTTGTTTGTTGTTTGTTTGTCTGTTTGTTTGTTGTTTGTTTTGTTTGTTTGTTTGTCTGTTAGCAACATAACTCAAAAAGTTATGGACCGATTTTGATGAAATTTTCAGGATTTGTTGGAAATGTGAAAAGGAAGAACTGATTTCATTTTGGGGGTGATCCGGAAGAAATCCTGGATTCTGGATCACTTTGAAATTTTAGTTAACATTGTGGTAAATGGGGCCAAAAATTTAGTTTCTCAATATCTGGGTTAATTATTGACCAAACCCCATGAAATTTGACTCAGGGATGGACAATGGGATCCTCTTTCATATTCCAAAGGCTGATCCAGATCTGATCCAGAAGACTGATTTTATCGCAATTTATATAAAAAATGGGGGTAGTCCTTGTCTGCGCTCTCTGAGTGCTTTTCTAGTTTAGTCCTGGTTTAATCCTGGGTTAGACCTGGTTCAGACCTAGTTTAGACCTGATTTTAGACTTGGTTTTAGACCTGGTTTAGTCCTGGTTTATTTATTTCAACAAAGTAACTGTAATCCAATTACCACTCACTGAAACAGTAACTGTAACTGAATACAGTTACTCATCATTTGTACTCTGATTACTTAACTCTGGTACATGTAATCTGTTACTCCCCAACACTGAAGTTTAGCTCATGATTTCCATTTTTATGTTGTTTTAGGACAGTGCGGCGTTAAAGGTCTGATATTACACAACATTGACCCTTGTGAGTTTTAAGTCGTGTTATAATGTTTGTTTCCTCTTTGAAAATAAACCCACAGTTGTGTTTTGTTTCATTCACACATATTTGAGTCATTCTGGTTTATTAGTTTGTCTACATCTCCAAAGCCCAAAATGCTCTGCTCCACTTTGTGATGTCATGAAGTGGTAGTTTTCAGTTTAACAGCTCCGTTTACCTTTAGTTCAGTCGAGATGGACAGACTCCAGGGCTAAAATGATCTCAATTATTCTAGAGAAGGTGTGTGGAGTTTAAAAACAGAGTGGAGCACATCCTGTATTACCACATGACAGTGTTGTAGTCAAGACCACAATAAACGAGACCAAGACCCCGAGACCAGGACAAGACCAAGACCTCCGAGGGTCGAGACCGAGACAAGACTGAGACCACGGCCCATCGAGATCAAATCAAGACCATCTTTGTAACATTTATTTGTATTTTACTGTTATTTTGTCACATTTATATCAATGTTTTTATGAATCTATCTCCATTTTATCACTTGTCGAGTGTCAGACCTCGAGACCGAGACGAGATCGAGTCCAAGCGCCTTCAAAACCGAGACAAGAGACCGAGTCCAAAGCGTCCTTCAAGACCGACAAGACGAGAAACCAAGACCGAGATAAGACCGAGTCCAAGCGCCTTCAAGACCGAAACAAGACCGAGATAAGACCGAGTCCAAGCGTCTTCAAGACCGAAACAAGACCGAAGACCGAGACCGAGACCGAGTCCAAGACCGAAACAAGATCCGAAGCTTCTTCAAGAAGACCGAAGAAGATAGACCGACCGAAGTCCAAGCAAGACCTTCAAAACTGAGACAAGTCTGAATCTAAGCTCTTTCAAGACCAAGACAAGACCGAGACAAAACCAAGTCCAAGCGCCTTCAAGACAGAAATAAGACCGAGACAAGACCGAGTCCAAGCACCTTCAAGACCGAGAAAAGACAGAGTCCAAGTGCCCTCAAGACCGAGAAAAGACAGAGTCCAAGCGCCTTCAAGACTGAGACAAGACCAAGACCAAGATCGAGTCCATGAGCCTTCAAGACCGAGACAAGACCGAGTCCAAGCGCCTTCAAGACCGAGACAAGACCGAGTCCAAGTGCCTTCAAGACTGAGACAAGACCGAGACAAGACCAAGTCCAAGCGCTTTCTAGACCGAGACAAGACCAAGACAAGAACAAGACAAAACCGAGTCCAAGCGCCTTGAAGACCGAGACAAGACCGAGTCCAAGCGCCTTCAAGACCAAGTCCAAGCACCTTCAAGCCCGAGACAAGACCGAATCCAAGCGCCTTCAAGACTGAGACGAGACCGAGACAAGACCGAGTCCAAGCGCCTTCAAGACCGAGACAAGAGACCAAGCGCCTTCAAGACCGAGACGAGAGACTGAGTCCAAGCGCCTTCAAGACTGAGACAAGACCGAGACAAGACCAAGTCCAAACGCGGTTGAGTCCAAGATGAGACCAAGACTGCAAAAAAAACGAGGTCTCAGGGCCCGTCTCAAGACCAAGGCCGGTCTCGAGACTACGACACTAGTATATTTTAAATACGCAGGAGGATTTTTGTGTTTTGTGGATTTATATTTTAAGGAAACAACATTATAAGTCCAAAAATACACTTTTTTTCTTAACCAAAGCCGTTTTAAAGTGTAAACTACGTGCAGTTGTCCGTCATAATAATTTAAAATGCGTTTGTTTTGTTTATTGTTCAATATTTTAGACCGATTTCTTTCATAAACGCTTCGGACAATATAAACAAAATACAGTCCCGTTAACCGGAGCCGGGTCGGGAGGATCTCAGAGATATACGTTGTTGTTAAAGTCGTCGTAAACCTTTCTCTGAGCTCCGGTCTCCTTCCGTCTGACGCTGTAAAACACTGGAGCCTCACCTTCCACAAAACCAGGACAAAAACACGACAGATCAGATCCAGGTCCAGTTTCCCGCAGAGAAATGTTCCGTACTCAGTTCATTTGTGTTCGGTGAAGGTTGGAGCAGGTTTATCACGGAAGTACATGGTTTTATCGAATGTTTTCCATCACTCAACATGAATCTGTTTTGTAATTTGCAAGGAGGAGGTTTTTTTTATAAGTGGAGAAAACAGAATTGGGTTAAAATCGCCTCATGTACCAGAAGAAAGAACATTAGTTAAAGAGCCTGTGTCACACTATTTTCTGATCTGTGTTATAATGTTGTTTCCTCGTCACAAATAATCGCTGTTTTTCAAAATAAAATCAAAAATAAGAAAACTTAAACTGCGATGCCGGACTGAACCAGGACTGAACCAGGACTGAACCAGGACTGAACCAGGACTGAACCAGGACTGAACCAGGACTGAACCAGGACTGAGTGTTGGGATGGGTGATTAGGACTGAGACCAGAATTGAGACCAGGACCGGACTGGGACCAAGACCAGGACCGGGACGGGACCGGGATCAGACCAGGACTGAGACCGAGACTGAGACCGGGACCGGGACCAGGATCAGACCAGGACTAAGACCGGGACTGAGACCGAGACCAGGACCTAGACCGGGATCGGACCAGGACCGAGACTGGGATCAGACCAGGACTGAGACCGGGACTGGGACAGAGACCGGGACCAGGACCTAGACCGGGACCTAGACCGGGACTGAGACGGGGACCGAGACCGGGATCAAGACCAGGACTGAGACCAGCACCAGACTGGGACTGAGACCAGGACTGAGATCAGGACTGAGATCAAGACTGAGACCGGTTTA